AAGAAGAAGAAGAAGAAGAAGAAGAAGAAGAAGAAGAAGAAGAAGAAAGAGGAGGAGAGGGAGAGGAAGAGAAGGGAGAGGGAGAAGGAGGAGGAGAAGAAGGAGGAGGAGAAGGAGTAGTAGTAGTAATAGTAGTAGTAGTGTCTTTGGTGCATATACTCTCAATGTACATAAAGAAAAAATAAAATACATTTATCAAGAATGTGATAGTGATAGTCCTAGGTTACTTATAAGCAATCAAATCATACTGGGAAGCAAATAAAACAATATAAATCGTAACGATACAAGCAACAAGGTTATATCCATGAGTAAAAAAGGAGATAGGTAACAGGAAGGATGAGAAGAATAATAGTAATACAATTCTTAGTAAATAATTTGATAATGTTGTGAGAATCAGTTTTTTAGCACAGTAATGGCATTCAGGAAAAAACTATCCTTGTGTCTAATTGTGAAGATAATTACAAATCTTGAAAGGTAGACATGCTAGCTGAGAGATCACAAGCAGCATCAAATCATAGGAATGTCAAGGTTCCAAGTAATACATCCCCAACAATGAGAACTCTGAGGCAGGCTTATTCCTCAAAGAGAATTTTAAAAGTTGGAGATTGAGAGGGGGGGGGGGTAAAAAGGTTAGATTTGATAAGGAAGAAAGGGACAAAGTGAAGGGAAGTTATAAAGACTTAAAACAAGATGTTAATAAACAATTTTTTTTCAGAGATAAAGGGTAAAATATAATTTAAATAGAGATTCTGCAAAAGTACACAAGATTGTATTTTAGTATTTGTATTTGAAATATGTGTTAATAGAATACTGTAGGGATTGTGTAATTAATGTTTAATTAATTAATTTGTTATGGAACACTATTTTTAATATACTATAAGATTATTATGTTTTATATTTTAAAATGTTATGTAGAATGTACTAAGCAGAATCAGAATAGAAACTATGTCTAATTTTAAGTGTTAAATTTGGGGGGGAAATAGAAAGGTGTCATACTTCAACCAGTCATTACAGGAAAAAGTTTGTGTTAAAGAGAAAGATAAATGGATAATTGAAAAAGAACGGACAAAAGATACAAGTGTAATGATTTAAAATGAGATTAAATAAATAAAATAGAATTAAGAGAGTGAAAAGAGGGGAGAAGATATATGCAAAATGTAGAATTTTAAATAAGATATGAAATAGTATATAAGCTGAGCATGAATTTGATTTACGTCAGTACAAAAAGTTACAACCCAGGGTTAAGCCGCTTTCTAAAAAGAAGTTTTATGTTTTTATGTTATGTGTTTTGTTAGTCTATGTTTGTCTATTGAGGAGTAATGATGTTGGATAAGAACATATGAAATAGTAATAATATGAAATATAGTAATATGAAATATATGAAAGTATAAGTCTGATGAATAAAATTGAACAGAAATAAAGGAAGAAACAGTAAGAAGGTGGAAAACAGTAATAAGATATGAAGTTGAATATATAAGATGCATATTAAATTGTGTGTGGAAACGTGATAATTTAGAACTATATTGTACTTAAATGAGATGTCTTATTTGTTTTGTTAAGTGGTTGTTAGAAAAGATGTTTTATGTTCTTATGTCTTATGTTTTGTTTGTGTACTCTCTTTGAAAATTAATAAAATTTGTTTTTAAAAAAAGAGAATTTTATTGGAACATCTCAAATTGGCGAAATTTTAATTACAGGGGACATTCAACCAGGCTGCTTTCTCTTGTCCCTTCATGATCAAGAGGCAACCCATGCACAGCCTTTGATGCAGGACAGCCTGATGAATTTCAGAGGAGCAGGGAGTCTCTAGACCCACTTTAACTTGGAATCCTTCTGTGAGTTCTGAGATTCACAGAGGCTCTTTTCACACAGCAAGCTTAGTAGAACAAATGCTCTGTATCCTCAACAAGGGCTCTGTATCCTCACAGGATGTTAGATCCATTACAAATAAAGCAAGTTAAAATAAATCAGTACTTACTAAAAGAAACTTTGGTGGTCAGTGGGATTTTGACTGACCCACTGAAGATTCACCTTCTCAGCGTTCCAATGAAACTCCCCATACTCCTTCATCACTCAGGCACAGCATTCATCCAAGTAAGACTTTATTAGAGAAGTTATATAGGAACATCTGGAAAACCCAGATATGAGAGTTCTGGATTTCCCCCGGTAACTGAAAATCCAAACCCAACCCCTGCACCCATCAGTTCATCACATGGACCAATCACCAATCGCTCCAACTGGAGACATCCCTTCAACCAGTCCTTCCCCAGCTGCAGGGTGGCTTGTCCTTGACTCAGAAGAAGAATGTGGTTATGTCTAATCTTCCAGCTCTCTGTAAGATCCCCCTGTCAAGGTTCCAGAAAACCCCAATTCCAATTAAAAGCTCCGAGACAGACATTTTCTCAAAGTTCCTTTTATTAGAGTAGTTATACTGGCATATCTGAGAAAACCCGAATCTGAAAGTTCTGGGTTTTCCTCCAATAAGTAAAAAAATTACAAATCCACCCCCTGGACCCCTCATTCCATCACATGTCCCAATCATTATCCATTCCAACTTGAGACATCCCCTCAACCACTCCTTAGCCAGGTGCAGGAATAACATGACCTTGACTTTAAAGAAGAATGCTATTATGTCTAACCACAAATACTCCATGAAATTCCCCCTCCCATCTTCCCACGCTCAAGAATGTGGCAGCATGGAAGCTTCTGGTGGTAATATGGCTTCCAAAGCTGACACCCCCCTCCCAAATTCCCAAGCACTAAAATGTGGCAGCGTGGACATTTCTAATGAAATATGGTTTCCAAGCTGACCCCCATTTTGTCGTCTTGCTCTGGGCTGACATCTGCTCCCTGGAATGATGTTTGATCCCTGAAACTCAAGCAACCTTTGAAGACCTTAAACGAAGAACTTTCCATTCTGCAACTCCTTGACAACATATTTGGTTACCCTTCCCTTTTTTAAATCAAATCATTTATTGTATGTTAATGGTTTACTGTATTTTTTGGATGCAATTAGATGAGTGGCATGAAATATTTAATCAATTAACCAAGAAACATTCATTCATAGGAATTTTGAAGAACCTGCGGACTGTTCACAGAAAGTACCTGCCATGACTGGACATTTGAGATCCTCTTTCCAAACCTCAGCATGGCCGATTGTGCTCTTGATCCATACATTGCATGTAATGCATGGGCCACAGCATGAACCCCATTGTAGATAATGTAACTTTCACCTGCCATATTTGTTTCAAACACAAAAGATGGCAGATTCTGTAAACTCTCCTTTCCGGTGCACTGTTTTTTCTCCTTTTGAAGGATAGCTCCTGGTTTATGGATCTTGCAGTCAAAGGCATCTTCCCACCATTGTGCAAGAAAGACATCTCCTTGAGGGTTCAAGGGATCTAAAGATAGAAGAAAGTGCCGGAATTCTGGAAAATCATAGCTATGATCCATGAAATGCAAAGCACCATGGAAGGGCTTTTTGAGTTCCAAAGTCTGGTGATATATGCTGATTTCCCAGTGGGAAGTCAGGATCCAAACATTTTGAAATGCAATCTTCGTCCGTTTTTCAAACAAATGCAGAGAAATGTATATAGTCGGAATACACTTGTATTCTCCAAACAAAACAATCACTTCAGCTTTAAACCAACTTTTGATTAAAGGAATATATTTTGATGGTGTAAAGTAAGGTTCATGTTTCACCGTTTGAGTGAAGGCCAGGCAGATCTCCTTCTCCAGCATTGGCCTCAGAGACGAGATAAAATGTTCTCCCCTGTCACCTTCAGGGGCCAGAAGCCCAACCCAGTTCCACTGGAAATGCAGGAGCAGCTGGACTATACCACGATATTGAGGAAATTCATTGGGACTGATCCAGAAAAAGGAAGGAAAAACAATTTTGTCTCCCTGAGTGAACTTGAGGAAGTGAAAACCCAGCTGCGGAAAAGGAGAGTCTGATTTTTCAGATGAATTTTTCCTCACAAGGTCATCTTTTATGGTGAGGTCAAGGGTCTCCATCCTTATTAAAAAAATATACTATCTTCCATATTGACATCGATTATATAACCATCAAAACATTTATTAATCAGTTTTACTCTCTCATTTAATCCATATTTTACATAAATTAACTCATCTAACCTCTGCATCTGTCAACTAGCCATTTGTAGAAAAGTTCCCATGTTATAAAATATTCTGAATCTTCTTTTTCTTTCATTTTTAGAGGATGCTTTCTAATAACGATTGATATTATTTTATATATGTTTTGACATACATGAGTATAATGATTATGTTTATATTTTAACACTTTGGACACCTAGAAAACACTGTTCAATATAGAAATGGAATTTGTGATACAAAACAATAAATATATTTCTAAACAAGAGCCTCCATCCTGTAGCTTTTTTCCATAAAAAATTGGTAATTCACTTTGAGCGGAGTGTCTTCCAGTTACAGTGAAATACAAACGGAAGAGCAGGCTTCTGAATGCTTTTCCTTTGCTATGTATAAGCAAGATGGTTTTGTTCGATAAATTATACTCTGTTAATGAGCTTACATTCACAACTTTTCTGTTTATCTTTTACTAATGTATCGCTTTATAAAACCCAAGTAAGGTCACACCTGGAATACTGCAAGCAATTTTGGTCACCATACTACAAAAAAGATCTTGAGATTTTGGAGAAAGTTCAGAGAAGAGCAACTAAGATAATCAAAGAAGAAAACATACGAAGAACATATAAGTAAGTATATATTGTATAACATACAAGTAACTATTAAAGTATCTTCCTTTCTCCTTATGAAGAGCCACTGACATTGGTACTGGCAGGTGAAAAGCCCAATCCACACAATAAACCACATTGAAACAAGGTTACATTTACAAAGAACCAGTTAGAAAGGAATTCATCCAGGAAAGCATTTCAGAAATTCCTTATTGTTTATCTCTTTGCAATGTAGGTGTAAAAAAATAGATCCAGCACACAAGATATAAATTCAAATGTTGAATGAATTCTCCAAATCATGCATTCCTGATTTCCTCCAAGTAACGTTTAGCATCCTTGCTGGCTTCTGTGGTGTGTTTATGTTTTGTGTTTGCTCCGTACTGGTACCCTATGGAACCCCCTTACCTGTGGAGCCTTGAAGATGCTGAAGATGGAGGCCATCTGCCTTGAGTGTTGGGAGTTGAGACCCCCAAAGACAGAGAGTAGAGTGTCCTGCTTGTCACATTTGTAGTCTGGAACCATTCGGCCTCGTGTAGACAGAAGAGAGAGGCTGTTCCAGGAAATCCTCCTAACAGTGTCTTTATTGTCAGAAATATGGAAGCCGAGTGTGATGTTGGGAAGGAGAACTAAATCCTTATTGATTTTTGTTACTGCAGAAACGAAGGCCAGAAAGAGCTGGTAATTCTTGAATGTAGTGCTGTAATGAGAATACATTTGGGAATATTATAGGGAAAGTTTTTAAGCCAAAAGAGCTAATACAATCCTGGGTTGTATAAACAGAGGCATAGAATCCAAATCACGTGAAGTATTAGTACTGCTTTATAAAGCCTTAGTAAGACCATACGTCAACCAATTTAGGTCACCACGCTACAAAAAAAGATGTTGAGACTTTGAAAAAGGTTCAGGGAAGAGCAACTAAGACGATTGAAGGCCTAGAGACAAAAAACATATGAAGAACATTTGCAGGAATTGGCTATGTCCAGACTGGAGAAAAGAAGGTGTAGAGGTAACATGATAGCAGTATTCCAGTATTTGAAGGGCTGCCACAAAGAAGAGAGGGCTAACGTATTTTCCAAAGCACCAGAAAGCAGGACATGAAACAATGGATTAAACTAATGAAGGAGAAAAGCAACGTGGAATTAAGCAGAAGCTTCCTAACAGTCAGAACAATTAACCAGTGGAACAGCCTGCCACCAGAAATTGTGGGTGTTTCATCACTGGAGGTTTTTAAGAAGAGACTGGACAGTCACTTGTCTGAAATGGTCTGGGGTCTCCTACTTAAGCAGGGGGCTGGACTAGAATACCTCCAGAGTCCCTTCCAGCTGTATTCTATTCTTACGTGGTGCTGGAGGTTGCTTGTCCTTTAGTGTTAGTGTGTGTGTGTTTGTTCTTCTGGATTTTGAGGAGTTGAATCCATTTGCTGTGAGCCTTTGGAGAAAAAAAAGTGAAGGAGAGAATTATATTGATGGTATTGATGGCCCTGAAACTATGGCCAATGTAGAGAAGCGTTGAGAAATAGCACATTTGCAACCCTAAACAGTCATGGTTCAACCAAGGGAGAAATATCTAAGGAAGCATTAGCAGTCTGAGTGTCTGTTTGAAAAACTCCCTCAGCTTTCGGAACCAAAATACTCCACAGAACAAATTTGCTAAAGGCCCTTACAAAAGAACACTAAGGATTCCAAAACTGGATTTGCTTTTTTTTTTTTTTTACAATTCACACCTTGTAAATAGATTG